GATGTACATTATGCGGCAAAGGAAATTAGAAGACATATATCCATTATGGAGATGATCAGTTTTGGACGGGCGATGTGCCTCGTGCGAGGACCATGTGTCCAAGGAGCATGCGCACCGCATGCTCCTTGGACAGGTGGATGGATCGGCTAATCAGCAGGGGTTACATGCTGCAGTTTGGAGGCAGGCCTCCGCCTTTTAAGGGGATCATGGAGAGGCTTCTACCACCTCCGCAAATCGGAGGCGAAAGGTGCAATTTCCACGGTTCCCCAAGGAGACGAAAATGTGGTGTCTTATTCCTGCTATTTTCTGGTCCCCAAAAACAGGAGGAGTGAGACCTCCTCTTGGAAATTCTTGATCTGTCCCTGTTCAACAACTCGATCTTGGAGATATCATTCCACATGATGACAATCAGACAGGTGCTAGAAACGTTCACCAGGACGACTGGTTCTCCTCTATAGATTTAAAAGACGCATACTTCCATGTCTCCATCATCCTGAAACACTGGAAGTATCTGCGTTTCTCCTTCCTGGGGCCCAGTATCAGTACAACCGTCTGCCCTTCGATTATTCTCTCACCCCGTGCACGTTTTCCAAATGTGTGGAAGCAGCGCTGCAGCCACTGCATATGGCAGGGATGAGAGTCTTCTTCTATCTGGACAACCTGCTTTTACTGGCTCGGTCCAGAGAGGAACACATCACATCTGCTGAGTCTGGGATTTTCCATCAACTAGGAAAAGAGTTTTGCTATTTCGTCCCAGATGATTGTTTATCTGGGAGTGAAGCTGAATCAGTTATGATGAGAGCCCCATTAGCACAGCCGAGAATCGAGGCTCTGTCAGCGCAGCTCCGCCGAGTCAGGCCTCACAGCATAGTGGCAGCTCTGTCAGTCATACGGCTGCTTGGAATGACAGCGTCTCACATTGTGATTCCACTGGGTTTGTTACACATGAGATGCCTTCAGAGATGGTTTGATCGCCTGCGCATAGATCCTGTGCGCAAGAAGAGGCGCATGATCTCTGTTCCTCCTTCAGTGAGAGCCAATCTGATCCACTGGGGAAGTCCCGGCATTCTGGCAGAGGGAGTTCCCCTCAGCAGACCCACGTCACACCTATCGGTGTTCACAGACGCATCGGGATGGGGAGGAACGTGTCTGTCTCAGGTGGGTGGAGCACAGTGGCCAGACGACATGACATAAACGTGCTGGAGCTCCTCACGGTGCTGGAGGTGAGTCAGCACTTTGCTCCTCTGCTGAAGGGTCAACATGTTCTGATCCACACAGACAACAGAGTGGCAGCTGCCTAGGGAGGCGTGCACTCCACTCAGCTGTTAAACATCGCAAGACAGCTGCTGTGCTGGGCGCATGTAAACCTGCTCTCGATCAGAGTGGTGTACATCCCCACTGCAGGCCAAGCGGCATTGAGGGATATTGCCCGTCCACAGAGTCCGCCGTGGCCCATGCCCCCCTCCTGGACTGGAAGCTGTTTGTTGTTTTTACCTTAGAGTGGTCAACTCTGTGATTCCTATATCAGTTTGATACAGTAGTGGACTTTCACACTTCCCATAACTGTGGGAAGTGTGGAAGCACACTTTTATCAGCAATTAAATCTGCTGTTAACATGCCGTGACCTGATTTTTCCAAGGCGCCTTCAAACGAAACATGAGCGCTAAGATGCTCCCGCTGGGTTTACACGGCAGCGACAGAGACCTGCTACTGTACAGAGCGGCTCAGGAGCTGCTAGACTCATGGCAGCAAACCAGCATAATGCAAAGAAATTTGCACAGTTTTCCCCCCAACTAACTGACTGAGTTGAGTAAAGCTGTTGTATGCAGGTGATGTTAGTTAAAAGATGACTAGTTAATATCAATACAGCACCTTCAGCTTGTTAACAAGTAGCCTGTAGGTTACTGATGTTGTTGTCTATGTTCAGCTACGTCGATTCATTTTGCCCCCCAAAATAACTCGATGCCCCATCCTGTTAAACTCATCTGGAGCCGGGGCTGCCCCAGATCTTGAACAGAGGAGCAGACATCATGTCCAGGGGCGGGTTTTTTTTTTTGCGTTTCCCCAAGTTCCATTGATTCCATGGCTCCTTGACTGAGTTCAGGAGGAACAGCTGTCGGTAATCCTGGCACCCAAGAACGTGGCATGGTTTCCCATTCTGCAGCAGCTGGTGTCAGGTCGACTGTGGAAGCTGCCACGGAGAGAGGATGCGCTCTCCCAGGCCAGGGCAGAGATCAGGAGCCACCCAGAAATAGGAGAGCCTCTCTGGGTCTGGTGGCTGAACGGGAGCACCTAGAAAGCTCGGTCTCCCTCAGGGTGTGGTGCGCACCATTCAGTGTGCACGAGCCTCTTCTACCACAGCGTCATATGCTTCGAAGTGGTCAGCCTTTCAATGCTGGTGCGCGAGAGAGAGGGCGGAGCCTATTTCATGTCCTTTAGGCTGAGTGCTGTCATTTCTCCAGCAGCTGATAGACAGAAATTTAGCTTTCAGCACCATTAAAACTATGCTGCAGCTATTTTCTCCTGCCATGAGGGTTTTGGTGACAGAATGGTCTTCAACCACTCGCTGATGAAGCAGTTTCTGAGAGGTGTGCGTAGAAGCAGAGAGGTGTCACGCCCACTTGCTCCTCTGTGGGATTTAACACTGGTCCTGCGTGCTCTGGTTGAAGCTCCATTTGAGCATTTAGATCAGGATCCTCTGAAGTTCCTGTCTTTTAAAACTGCCCCGCTGTTGGCCTTTATGTCTGCAAAGAGAGTGAGCGATTTTTCCTCAAAGCATCACAAGCTTGTTCAGATCAAGGAAGATATCTTTAGAGAGTTCTTATCCCCCTCCTCATAAATCTGAGACAGAAGCTGCTTCTCATCTTCTCTGCCCTGTGGGCGCGCTCTCTTGTTATCTGGCTTGCACGTCTGCACTGCGTCGCTCTCTGAGTCTGTTCATGCATTACAGAGATAACTCAGTGGGGCGTCCTCTCTGCCCAGCGTCTTTCTCACTGGTTGTGTAAGGCCATCTCACAGGCTTTCATTTCTTCTGGATTGGATCCTCCAGAGAATCTGAGAGCTCACTCCACCAGAGGGATTTTATCATTACTGTTTAAACTTACTGTTTAAACTTTACCTTTAATAACATAAAGTTACCTAGTTTTTAAAGTGAAATCAATACTTTTATAACAAATTTATATCAGTAATGATTTCTTGTTTAATGTCAAGTTGTCATAACAACGGCACTTTGAATAATGTCAACTTTGTATTAAAAGTGTCATAATTTACCAAATGACGCTTTATGACAACAGTCATACATATTCATGAAGGCTTATTCATGTTCATGACATGTGTTATGTCATGTTTATGACAGTGTCATGACAGTCTTATTCAACCCCCTTCAAATAAAGTGTTACCGTTACCTCTTCTGTTCATCGTTACACTGTTACAGCTCGTAACGTTCGTTGTTCCTGTTCACAGCAGCAGGTCTGTTTGTCTCAACCTTTCTGACCAGATGTTATTCTCCTCTCTGGTCTTCACTGTATGGGAGGCCGGGAGTGCGTAATTACACACTCTAGGCTGAGACTGTTTTGTTATATGCGTGCAGATGCTTCATGGTGGTGGTCTGGATGGACCCAGTGAGGCATAGACTACATCCTGCTTTGCCGTTAACCCACTAGCGATAACCCTAAAGGGCGAAGCCTGTACGAAATAGAACATTGGTTAGGGGTTAGGGGCTGCGCACTGTAACCAATGTGCGCAGCCCTTTAAGCTGTGGGCCTCACTGGCTCCTGAATAGCTGAAGAAAAAGGCTGTTAGGGAGCCGTTTATCCGGTCTGACCGTTATTTATATAGACCGTGGTGGGGCCCACCCAGTAGGTGGGCGTGGACTAAGCTTTTTTCAGTGCTGCGCACGAGGAATAAACCCACTAGCAATAACCTTAAAGGGCTACGCCTATACTCATAGAATCTGGGGTTACAATACGTAACCAACGATTCTGGTTGTGATGGACTAAATGAACCCAGATATTTTATTTTATCTTATAAAAAAATTTTCCTGGCCCAATCATAATGATACACTCAGATTATGAATTTCATTATTTTTTAAATACAAACGAAAAGGAAAATTCACATCACACCAAGCTAATATTATGTAGTTCTGGTGTTTTACACTGTCAGCGCAGAACGACAGCTCAGAACTCTGACCAGCTTCTCTGCTTTTCTCGTCTTTATTACTGTCAGTTTTTCAGAGAAACGAGCTGCTAGCAGTGCTGCTAAGTCACAGTCATTTCCTTACAAAATGTAATGATCGTGTTCCGGTCATTCCCCGTGATTAAACTCAATTACGATCCTTTGTCCTAAGCAGCTCTCTGATAATAGACGGTGTGTCCATGAACAAGTTTAACTAAATATTGTGGCGGATACAATGTATATATTTCACACCCGAATGTATGCTTTTATTGTGAAGGGGAGAAGGTGAGGTGAGAAGACACCAATGGTTGTCCTTGATTCCATTTTTGGTTTTGGTTGGAAGACATTGAGAATAAAACAAGACTCAAATTACTTTTTCGTCTTTTTCTGCTGACTTCCACAGTATTGTATTATGACCAAAAAGAGATATGTAACTTATATCATGAATAGAAGTTACATCTATTCATGATGTAACTTCATGAATAGATGTATTAATGAATAGATGTATTAATGAATAGTATTCATGAAGCGACTGGGAAACCGAAGCCATTTTTATGCTAAAAATGGCTTCGGTTTCGTCTGACTATCTGTAATTACATTTTAGATATCTAAAAATGCATTTTGACTAGACAAAACTACATTTGAACTATCTGGAATCGTAATTTAAGATATCTGCATTTACATTCTGACTAGTAAGAATAATAATTCAAGATATCTTCAATTACATTTTGACGAGTCAAAATTCCTTTCAAGATATCTCAAATTACGTCACTGGATCCGTCATTTGATGTGACACATCTTATGACTTGTCAAAATTACAATTTTAGATATCTGAAGCCCCTTTGTGCTGTCCAAACAGTTGCCTGCAGAATTTTATGTTTCCTGCACAAAATTGCCTGTAAATGCCACAATGCAGAAAGAGGTCCTCAATGTTCAACAGAAAGAGGTCTTCTGTTGAAAATGGTTTGACAATAGCGATTTTAGCTTTTCAAAGCTTTTCAAAGCTGGTCAGAAAGTGGTGCATTTTCAGATATCTTATTTCGTTTTTTTCTATTTGTCATTGTTTTATTAAACTTTCAAATTGTTATGTATGCCAGGGACGTTTTGACTAGACAGAATACATATTCAGTAGATCAGTAAAGTCATTCTGACTTGTCAGAATGTTTAAGATATCTTAAATGGAAAAGCTGAGTAATTCACCATATCTCTAATTCATTTAGAGATACCTTAAAGAAATTTAGTCAAAATTACAATTCAAGATATATTTAATTTAGTTTTGTCTAGTCATTATTTGCTTTTGAGATATCTATAATTTACTTTTCACTAGTCAAAACTACATATCTCCTATCCAAAAATACATTTGAGATATCTTGAATTATGGAGTCAGAGATATCTTTAATTAGAATTGTGACTATAACTAAAATCGATACCTTGAATTTACTTTATGAGTCATCATAATTTAATTGTACATATCTGAAATGTGTATTTCAGATAGTCAGTAATTCATTGTAGATATCTTGAACTGAAGTCTCTGTACAACTTAATGGTAAATCTGACGTCATTTTGACTAGTCAGAATGTAATTAGAGACATCTTAAATCACTTAAATGTATAGTCATAAAACATTTGAGATATCTGGAATGTAAGTGCGGTAAAACCAAATTTATGTTAAAACGGCTTGCCATATTTAATCAACACACTGCTGACCTGCTACCGACAACATTAAGCTAACCTTACAATTTGGGCCAATTTTGTTTACACACCAATTGTAGCACACTTAATGTGTTACACGTCTCAGCTCATAGTGGACAATTGTAACAAATGATGTTTTGTTTTGTTTTTTCGTTTTTTTGTCTTCTGATGTCTGCTTCCCCTTTGATCTTGGTGGAGAGCCTGTAACAATGAATCAGGTTGTTGAATATTCGACTGATTTAATGACGAAAAGGAGTCGGGTGGATTTTCAGATGAACTTTAGTGGATTAAGAATGAACGAAACATACATACATTACAGAGAGTCGGAACTCAGCTAAGATACAAACTAACTGCGGCTGTTAGGAAAAGAATTATCATCACCATGGAAACAGGTTCCCGAGCAACATGGGATACGGAGTCCGCTTTGCCATAGGCCACAAAT